GGCAGCTACAGGGCTCCCTTCGTTAGCAGGAGATTGAGTTGTTAAACCCATCCCATGCCTCTCCCCCGCCACAGGCTGTTGGGGGCTGCTGGCAGAGCCTTTTCACAACTCGGTTGGGACTGGCAGCAGGATTATGGCCGGAGAGCCCCCATGTGAGGCAGCAAACAGCTGCAGTGCAGGCAGGACATGGGCCCCGGGGCTCAGAGCTGGCAGCACCCCAGCCACAACCCCCCCTCAGAGCCACCTTTCCCGAGGCCATGTTGCAGAGCAGGACGCTCCCCTTCACTCCTAAAACTTGACTGTTTGGATGAAGTATCAGCAGGGTAGGGTCTGGCTGTAGCTTTCCTGCTGTGCACACCTCAGTCTCCTACATGCTCACAGAGCAGTACCTGGCTCAGGAGCTCACAGAAAATCACCTCAACAAAGCACTGACACCACGCTGAGATCTGCCAGAGATCGGGGTCCTAGAGAGGAGAGGACAGACCACAAACCATGATGTTGCTCTTTGGCCTGGGAACTACGCAGCAGAGTGAAACCTCCCCCGCGGTTTCAGCAAAGCCACCGGGCAAGTGCTGGCTCTCCCACTGGCTCACCGCAGCCTCCCAGCAGGAAAGGCGAGAACAGGCAGCTTCCCACTGGGACACACAGGGAACAGAGCCCTTCTTTCCCTGGATGCTCCCAGCTAGGAGCTGTGCCAAGGTGAACAGTACTTCAAGAGACTGAGGCATTTAACACAACTTTAAGAAAAGTTACAAATCTTTTAATAAAATTCGTGATAAGTTACAGTTTCCTGGAGAACAGGCTCCAGTGTATAAAATGGGAGACAGGCTGGGAGGAGCAGGGGAAGCACCAACAGGAACCTCTTTCCCCACAGGAAAGAAGAAAGAGGGACAGAAAGGTTCTGACAGACATTTATTGGATTAAAAAAAAAACCACAAACAACAAAACCTCTAAGAGTGGTCCAGTGGATGTAGAAAGACATTAGCCCATGTCCCTCCATTCCTCCACCCTCCCAAATCCCTACCCCCAAAGGCAAACACATACAAGTCCTGTTTAAGTCACATATTTTAACAGATCTGGGTAGACCTCAGATCCCAGCAACAGTCTGAAGATATTAATCTTCCGTGGCCCAGGGTGCCAGCAGGAATTTTTGTGAAGCCCAGAGACAGCCTCCTCTCGCTACAGGTCCCTGAGACTGCACCAGCACGGTGGCACAGTGGCACAGCTCCTGTCTGATGACACAAGCCAAAGGGGCCAGTCCCACACAGCAGCTGAGGTCCCCCCTGCAGGCCAAGAGCATGCCACCCCCCCACAGGCTCTTGTGGAGCAGCCAGCACCAGCCCACTGAGCCAAGTGACAAGACCTGACAGCAGACATGGGTGACAGGGGGGTGGCATAAGCTCAGAGCCCTCCCAGCAGGGAAAGGTCAGCACACAGACACAGAGCAGCCGAGGGCTTGGTGCTGAGATGAAGAGCTGAAATGAAGCTGCATCCCCCAAGGGGCTTCGCAGAGCCCCCCGGCAGGCAGCTCCCCTCCCTCCGGACCCACGTCTCTCCGCTCAGGGGCTCCCTCCAGCCTGCGAGCGCCAGGACTGGGCAGGCGGCCGGATCGCGAGAGCGCATTTCCTACCGTGCTGGGGGGGAGGATGGACACACAGAGAGGGGTGAAGTCCAGCCAGACCAGGAGCAGAAGGGAGCTGGTCACCTGTGCTTGCAGGTGAGGAGGTGGCAGCTGTCACTCCAGGACACCCATGAGGAGATGAAGTTCCCGAAAGGCACTACCATGGCGGCCACTAAGCCCAGACTTGTTCTTGACGATGTTGCTGATGTTTTTCAGCTGCTTGTAGCACAGCTTGCATTTATGGAGCCTGCAAAAATCAGAGAGCAGACACAATATGAATCCCCAGCTGCTTAAGACATAGATGTGCTTGTTCCTACGGTGCCAAAGATGCAACTCAAGCAGGAGAGAAAACACAAGCCCTGCAAACGGCCCAGAAGAGGCTGAAATGCGATCATGGCTCTGCAGAAACACCACGTATTCAGCCCACGTCCTGATGACACGTAAGAATGGCATCCACATAAGGGCTCTTTCACTCCTCTCTTGCCCTTTGGCAGTGAAGTCCAGGGCAGAAGGACGTGATGGTTTTAGAAGGCCAATGCTCAGAGCAGAGCTATCCTGTGAAAGAACTGGAAATCCAGGGCCAGGCTGACAACTCCTGTGTCTTGCAAGGTGAAGCCACAGGGTGGTTTTACTCGTGACATACTGAAGACTTTGTTTAGGTGTGACTCAATACACAGTGACAGAGGGAAAAAGCAGTCCGTCTTTTTTTAAGAGCAGGAGGGTTTGGTGTTTGCAGACAAAAGGGAAGGCATGCCCAGTCTCGTATCAAAGTCTCGATGGTGAGGAGCAAAGCTCACCCAAGAGAAAGGCTAGTTCCAAAAGGGAGCAAGTGGAGGTAAGTGCCTCACCTTTCCTCTCTGGTGATGTCCACTCCAACAGAAGGTTGTGCGGTGAGGATGTCTGTGATCAATGGCAGGAATCTCTGAAGAATGAGTTTCAGGGAGGTGCAGCCAGTCTGCACATAACTGAAAAAACAGAATCAGGTCACACTTGAATTTAACAACTTACCTCCCAGGACACAGCTCTCACTCAAATCCATTCACTGGGGTTAATCTACAAAAAGGACCCCCCCCCCCTTCACCACCTGTGACTCAGTAAGGAGAGCAACAGCCAAAGTACCAACACATCTTGGTTCGAGTCAGACAATGAGAGTCCTTGTGAAAAGTCCTGGCAAACGCCCTGCCAAGTGGGACCTTTCTGCTCGAGAGCAAAAGATGTCCTGCCGAGGGCACTTAGCAGGAGCCTCTCCCCGAGCAGGAAGGAAAGGCAGAAACTCCATCTTAAGAAAGAGGCTGCATATTTTTTGCTACCTAACAATGAGGTTCAAAGCAATCTTCCAAGTAACCCCAAGTCTGTTGTGGGCAGTCCCTTTATTCCAATTCAAGGGCTCCATTCCCACCAGCATGCAAAGCCCACCTGTTTTACATTGACTTGACCACTCCTGACTGCCAGAGCTGCCTTCAGTCCAACACACCTACAACAAATCTCAATATCCTGCTCCTCTTGCCTGTACATACTCTTCATATTTTTCACACACACACACTTGGCAACTCCACTGCTCTTTTCAAGGTGGTATATTAGCATTATACTGTATCTGCTGTGATTTTTCAGGATTTTCTTTCAGCTACAAAATATCTTGTGGAGCTCTCCTATGAATATCCACACATTGTCCCCCAAGCACATGTTCTTGGGGCCTCACCTTTCATATTTACTTTGGAGTAGTTTTTCTATCTGCGGCAGGACTACAGTACACAAATCCAGCTTCCAGAGAGACCTGAAAAGGACACATTCTGAGACCAGAGACTGAGGCTCTGCAAGGCTGAGACGACATAAATAAAGCTTTCTAGCAAAAATGCTGAGGCCTCAGCACTCAAGTTTACTGGGCAAGTTCACTGACTCCCCCTTGTGATATAAAGTGGCAGGTTCTGACATTTTATTGACTCAGCAGAAACACTTAATGAAGCCCAAAGAGTTTGATTTTCCTTGAGAGACATCATTTGCCTACAGAAGAGGCCCCACAGAACTCCAGCAGTTACTGGCACTGCAGACTTGAAGATCTGACTACAAGAATATGCATTTCACGCTGCTGTGGCCACTGGACACAAGGCAGGTACAATGCAGCATTTCCCAGGCCCAGGCAGATGGCTCTCAGGTATCCCAGGGGTTGCCCCCACCCAGGACTCACGCTTTTTGGTTGACAATATTCAAGAGGTCCACAACAACAGACAAATCATTGATCGCCACTGCAGAGTCCACGGAGTTCTGAGAGAGAGGGGGAAGAAGTCATCTGTTGCAAAGCTCAAACTGGCTAGACTAATGAAATTAATATCAAGTACCACTTTTCAAAAACAACGTATAGGAAACATGGAGTTGGCTAGGGAAGAGAAGATATGTCTCACATGAGAAAGTTTTCTCCGCATTTCTGCGTGACCATCAACCACAGGTGGGACATAGTGGCACTCTGCAGTGAACCCCAGGGACAAAAGCTGTGAGACTCCACATTGTGTGTTAAGAGGCAGAACTGGCCCCAGACAAACCAAAAGAGCTACTCAGCCGCTCCTCCCATTAGCCTCAGGTATCTCTACATCCTTGCCTTGATGTCACCGGTGCTCCATACAGCCCGCACGGTATCCAGATTCTTGTGGCGACTGGTGAGCACCACACACATGGTCTCGTGACCTTTCCTGATCTGGGACATGGCTTCTTCATCCACAAGCTCAGTCTGGCTTTGGTTTTTTACAGCCTGGAAGAACAGACACCAATGGAGCAGCAATAACAGAGCAGGATGGCACATAAGGGCAGGAGCCTTCTTTGGCCTAGGTGAGGGCTGATTTCAGTGTACAGAGTATCAGTAAATACTGAATGCCTTGCAGATTGCTTTAAAACATTTTGAAATGGAAATGCTCAATTTTTTTTCTAATTATTTTTCTGCTTTTTCTACTAGGTCAATCACAAACATGTTTGAAGCTTTGGAAAAACTCTATGAATTTTAAAAAGGTGAATTAAAACTAAGTTTTCAAAACGATTATGTTTTAATGAAGAAATGTTTTCATGCAAACCTTGTTTTTTATGTGAAACATTCATCTGAAATTGGCAAATTTTATTACAAAGCATAAATCTTACACAATTTATTACTCAATTTGATTCTTGCCCAAGCCATGCTGGAACCACGCCCTTTGCTCACATTTAGGGTTTGGGATCATCTAGTCCTTCTCCCTTCTTAGGACAGGGAATACCCTCCCAAGAGAGGCCAAGAGGCCTCTGAGATGCAAGAGGCAAAGATTCCCGTGAAATAATTATGTATGTGTAATGGCAGACACCAATTTTCTAAATGAATCACTGTCTAGCATGTGGAATTGCTGAGCGTCTCTGCCTCATCCCTTGCTCTCTGCTCTGATAACACATTCTTCACGAGCTCGGGTCCGCACTGCTGTGTTTGCATCAGCCTGCTGCCAAGCGCAGCAGGGGCTGGCTCCAGCAGTCCTGAGGTGCTAATTCCACAGGAACCGCAAGTCAAAGCAGCTGGGAGGCAGAAGCAAGCTGACAGGGGAAGTACCAAGCAAGCAGTGGGAAAGCAGAAGGTAACATGTTCTCATTCAGTACTGCAGGCTGCAGAAAGCACCTAAGGCACTTCTGCACCTCAAGAAAACCCCCTCTCTGATAGCACCCAAACTATCATTGGCTGGAACCTTTCATCCACAAATACCTACTGGTAGAAAGTCAGAGGCCTTCAGACCAATGGGCTCATTCCTGGCTGCAGGAATCACCGACGGCTCTGTTCTGGTCAAAGGAGTTGAGGAGGCAATTGGTAGCCTATGAACCGGATCAGGCTGCAGGAAAATTGGGATAAAAGCTCTAGCAGTGACAGCCTGGCCCTAGTCTGATGTCCTTTTTTTCCTGACCTGCTTTCCTCTCACAGCATGTTCTTAATGCAGAAGCAGTCTCCAATTTGCTAAGGTAGTTTAAGAGGCAATAAAGTATCTGAGGTACACGCCAAGATGTAATTAAGGTTTGCAGAGAACATGGACATGCCCCAGCAGAAGTGCCAAGTGCTGTCATTGTTATCAGCATCTAAAATTAGGGCAATGGGCTGTGGCCAGCCTGAAGGTTAAGAGAGAACTCTGAAGAAGCCACTATAATGTACCCTGGCCCAACAGCTGTGTGTGATTTTGGTGACAAAATAGCCTCAGTTCAAGCACTTGCAGAAATCTGGCACTGTTTCTCTTCAGAGTGCCCCAATTTTGAGCTGCAAGGAGAAACACCACTGCAAGTGTGAGAATGGAAGAAAAGCAATAGAGCCTGTTGGAGGCTTGGCCTTTGATTCTCAGGCAAGACACACTGCAGCACAAAGACTGGAACTGCACCTTTACTGCTCTTCAATATAGGAATCAGTTTGACTAGAAATCGTAAAGTCTCCAACACTCACATATCTCTCACAGTGGGAGTGTGAACAGCTATTAACAGATCATGTAGTACGTACAAGTTCTTGCTTTGGCAACGCAGTCTGGACATCTGCAGCTTGGCTGGGCTTCGCCACTTCCTTTGCAGTTACAGGCTCTACCAAGATGGAAAGAAGTGGGAAAGCAGAAACTGATTGTTCCTTTCAAGGTTAAGTTGAGAGCAAAACTTCTGTATAGCTAGACTACAGGTAGTCATTTCTGCAGGCATGCAGCTCTTCCTCTTTCAAGGGCCATTAACCCCATTCCCACCAAGGGTCATTTTCATACTCACCATCCTCAGGAGGGGCTGGAAAGGGCTCATTGTTTCGAGGAGGAGTTCGACCTACAGAGGAAAAAAATTAAACAAACGAAGGAGCATCCAAGGCTACAGCTTAGCAGTAAGTCAACCTTGGAGCTGGGACATCTCTAACAACTCCACAGATCAGGGTAATCAGTGACATGGCAAGCAGTTATCTCCTGCAGACCCTGACACTAATGCTGAGTTTAGTCAAAGGCTTTCAGCCTTCCTGGATGGGAGGGACAGCACTGACCCATGTAGCTGCTGCAGAGGTGTGAAGCACAAGAAAAGGCACTTTCTCAACAAGTTGTATTAGTAAGAATTCACCTCCCATTAAATTGATTTACATAAGCATGCTTACAATGGAGCTCGGGATTCTGAGCCAGGCTTTGATCAGACATCACCGCACCCTAGTAAAGGTGCCACCTTCCAGCAGTTCACCAAACATGATCCACAGTTCAGTGTCCAGGCACAGAATATTAAAGTTTTCTAAACTTCCAGTCACAGGTGAAGCCTCTATTATAGTAAGCCAAAGCTCATGTCTACAGAACAAGTTTAGTGCCTACAGGTCTAATCCAAACACCACCCAAAAGCACAATAAACCCTGGTACTGACAGATAGTGTTTTTGGGCTGGAAGATCTCTTTGTAATCCTCTGGGTTCTGGATCTCAAGCTTTGATTCCTTCTCATCCCGGTCATCTTCACTGCTGGGACTGCGCCTCTCACTCTCCGAATTGTGCTTCACTCTGGTGTGGAAAAAGAGAGGCTGTCAGAGCAAGTCACAAGGACTCTGTCAGAGATAGCAAGAGCACTAAGCTCCCTGTACATTTCCTTAAAATCTTGAAATTCAGCAAGCCAGCAGATTCCCTTACCTTTGTGGCTTGCTGCAGCTAGTTGAGGGCCTGTCATAGATGCGGCGAAGGGAGGACCCCGTGGGTGTAGGTGGCACAAGAGGCTCATCGTCCCTGATCAGCCCGTGAGGAATAGAATCTGATTTTGTGACTCTGCTGAGATCCACAACGAAGGAAGAGACTGTGCTTTGTGCGAAGGAAACTCCTATCTGCAGAGGCAAAAGATCAAGGTAATTCACCAGGGTGTACACCAGCCTTCTTGAGAACAGGCATGATGGAGTGACCCTGAGCAACTGTGCTGGAGAATTTCTCAGTTCAGTGCTTTGGCTTTTTTAATTTGAAGCTGCCAATGTTTTATGAAAGGCTCCAATAAAACTCCTGCCAAGCATAGTTTCTAAATACTGGTCAAACCAAGCCCCAGTTCTTTCCTCCAGAAGCCAAAAAGAGACAGAGTGGAACACAAGGTTGCTGAAAGCAAAAGCACACAATCTTTGTGATGGGCACACTGCAAGCCCTGGCCACTTAAGAGTCTGACAGAAGCTTAAAGTTCAGCAGGCCTGCAAGAAGGCAAGAGGATTTTATCTCATGTTTCGCAGCCACCTCCCCCAATCCTCAGGAGCAGTGGCTTACCAGCTGGTTGGTACAGATAGATAAGTCAGCTACTTTTCCCCAGTTCACCAAGACCACATCAAAACAGCGCTCTGGCTCCCATCCGTACACACGCAGCGAATCCTGGAAGCCACTGTACAAGCAGCAGCCATCTGGGTTGAAGAGCACACACCTGGGAGGAAGGCAGGTGGAGAATTAGGCACAGCTTTGCAGCCTTGCTCAGTCCCACAAGGACCCCAGGCTGTAACCTTGACTTCACTGACCACCTCCAGCCCTGCTTCTAACAATGAACCTATCGATCTGGTGTTCACCAATGCTGGTTTTGGCTAGGATAGAGTTGATCATCTTTGTAGAAGCCAGTATGGAGCTATGTTTTGGATTCAGCCACTGTTTGGCTGAAAACAGTGTTGATAACACAGGGATGTTTTCCTTATTGCTGAGCAGTGCTTACACAGAGTCAAGGCTCTTGCTGCTTCTCACACCTCCCCACCAACAAGTGGGCTGGGGGTGCACAAGAAGTTGGGAGGGGACGTAGCTGGGACAGGGATATCCCAGACCATATGGCATCATGTTCCACATAGAAAGTTGCGGAAAGAAAGAGGGGGATGTTTGGAGCAATGGCATTTGTCTTCCCAAGTAACTGTTATGTGTGATGAAGCCCCGCTTTCCTGGAGATGGTTGCACCCCTGCCTGCTGATGGGAAGTGGTGAATGAATTCCTTGTTTTGCTTGTACACGCTGCTTTTGCTTTACCTATTAATGTCCTTATCTCAAGCCATGTGTTTTCTCATTTTTACTCTCCCAATTCTCTCCCCCATCCCACCAGGGGGAGTGCACAAGCAGCTCTGTGGGGTTTAGATGCCTCTTGGGGTTAAACCATGACACCTGTGCAACATCTCCAGCAGCCCAAACTTCTCCCCAGTGAGGTCTCTTTCAGGAAATCCTCCCTTCACCCCCACTTTAGTCTCTGCCTAGTATACTGTAGTAGGATTTTAATATACCTGACAGGAGTAGCCTCCTCTTCAATGCAACTCACAACTTGAAACTTCTCCAAGTCCCAGAAACGAACAGTCCTGCACAAACAACAGAGCGAAAATCATCGCTTATCCCTCTAGAAAACTGCTGTAGGATTCATTATGGAAATAATATGTTAATAACTAAAATGACTTCTGTTGCTGCGCACATACGATGAACTTATACAGAAGGCTAGTCTAGTCAAGATCCATGAATCCAATCAAGATGCTCAGAGGCTCTAGATACTGCTAGCTGAGCAGGGGTGCTTGCTGTTCAGATAGGATGTCAGCTGGATTAGCGAGATGCTTGAGGCTACTGCATTGTTTTCTAGCGTGCCAGAAAGTGCCATCAATTTTGGATGAAAAGGCCATCTCCATGGTCTGTGCATCACAGATGTGACACCCTGCTGGCTAGATATCAGGGTCTTGCAATGGCAGGTTTGAGTCCTGTGACATTTCTATTTCCCACGTTTCTAAAATGAAGGGTATCAGGAAGGGGAACAGACATACACAATTCCCTTCTTTCTCCCTCCCCTTATATACCTGTCAGAGCTGCCAGAAGCCAAAAGGTATTCATTGGGATGGAATTCAACAACGTTTACTGGGCCAGTATGTCCTGTAAACTCAAACATTATCTTCCCAGCAGCCAGATCCCACAGCTGGAAGAAGGAAAGAACAAAGACAGTCTTGTAAAGATTTAATGTTAGAAAATTTCAATACATCTCGGATTTCCTTGTACTGGCAGCCTTCTAACACTCCTCTCACCCCAAAAGCAGACCCAAATTTGTTAAAAGAAGCAATGATCAGGGAAGAAGCACTGTCCTAGTCATTTTTTTTAATGCCTTTTTTCCTTCTTTTTTTTGCATTCTCTTTTAAATTTTCCATTTAATTTGTCCCTGTAAGTTTCTGGTTTATATTTAGAGACTCTGGTAAAATACAGCAGTTCCACCTGTCCCCACACATTATATCTTAAAAGCAAAAAACCAAAAATCCAAAAGCTCTGAATACCTTAGCAATCCATTTTTCTGTGCTCTAGTCACCACTGAAAAATCCAGTGTGAAGTGACTGATCAGTTTGTTTCATGTGAAGCTGAAAACAAAAATCAGTCCTTTGCCCACATTCCTCCATACCACATCTGAAACAACTGAAGTCACTGCTTCAGTTGATACTTTTCTGAACTTCTTCTCTTGCTCTGCTCAGTCCTAACAGCAGCTTTCAGACTGATAATCATGTGCAACGGGTATGATAACACACTCCTACTGAGCAGAGCCAGAAATTGGTATGGTGAAGCAACATACTGCGCACAACTAATTCTGTAACACTGACTGAAACAACCAAGGCCAACAGTCAGGTATCACAACTCTACCACCATCAAAACTTGAAGCTTCATGTGCATAGTGACAACATGTCTGTTGGACAAGTATATTTCAACATGTGCAGCTTGTTTCTAAATGTTGTGGGCCACTGGACACAATCCTGAAAAGACTGTTCCCTGCAAAGCCAGATGCCTAATGAACTAAAGATGTTTATGAGCAAGCGCTGGTAATGCCTGGTAAAAAGATGATCCCAGCATTCCTGTGCCACGAGCACATAAGAGTGTCACAATAAATTACCTTTACAGTGTGATCATCAGCAGCAGAGGCTAACCATTTCCCATCAGGACTAAAGCGAAGACATCGAACTGCTTCTGTGTGACCCTGAAATGAGAAAAACAAATAGTTTGGGGTTGGGTTTTTTTTTCCCCCTTTCATTAGAGGGAATTCTGGCCTTTTGTTTTATTATGTTGTATAGGATTGAAAGACAAATCAAGTAACTGTTTCATAGAGTCCACCTTGCAGAACACTAAACACTACACTCAGGAGCTACACCAACCCACACTGATTAGGCATAATCTCTCTCATCTAAACATTTCTGACATCAGGTAAATACAGATCTGGCTTAATTTATAAGAATCAATTTTAAATTCCACAGATTTAAGGGTGGTCAGATAGAAGTGCTGTGCCATTAACTTGATTTCTAAATGAAATTAATCTACAGCAAGTTCTTTGGGTAGAAAAAAGCCCCAGGAATAGAACCATCTTGGTGTAGTGAGAACGTGCATGGTAATATCAGTCACAGCATAAAGAAACACTCATGGATGCTCTCCGTCCCTCATTGAGGCCAACCAGACTATAGTACATTAACTCCTATGATATCCATTTCATATGCCCATAGAGTTCCGAGAGGCCTGCAGAGGTTTGCCAGGCCACTTCAGAAATCGTGCAGGTCTAATTTTTATACTGGAAAACTAGGAAGTTAATTGTACGTAATCACGTTAAGGTTTGATCACAAGTCTGCGACAGAAATCCTTCTCTCCTCTTTGCCTGGGGGAGGCATTCCCCTAAAATGCCTAATGAAGCATTTTACCTTGTACCTGAAGACACAGCCTTTTCTTCTTACATCCCAGAGCTACAGGGAAGAAAAGCAAACAAAAAAATATACTTAGAGCAGTATGTGGGGAGCCCAAGAGTCCCATCAGAACAAGAGCTCTCCCTGCCACTAAACTGATAGACACTGCAGAATGATAACACTGAAGGGGCTATTGAACCTGTTTGCTTCAGGGGTATTTCCTAATCCAGCTCCCCAAGTGAGAATCACTTCTATAATGTATTTCTTACTACAGAAGCTCAGTTCCTAGTGAAATACCAGCCTGATGACAGCAATCAGGACACCTGTGCTTGCTGACACCAGGTCTCAGCTGGCACCTTACTCAGAGCCACATTCCACAACAGAGGAATCACACTCATGAGCTACCACTGTGAACATACACACATGAATTTCGCAAGCACTCAAACACACCTGCCCACACACAGAGAAATGATGATGTACAGCATCTACCAACAGCTTGGCACTAAACACGCTCTGGCACTCTTCAAAATAAAGATACCGCAAGTAAAGAGGGGAATCTCTAGGGGAAGCTGGATTTTACCTTAATGTTTGTGTCCAAAGAGCCAGATGCCACAAAACTTCCAAAAGGATGGAAATCAAGGCTGCAGATATTTGCTTTGTGACCGAGTAAGGTACGAAGAACTGGGAAAAGGAAAAGCAGAACGGGGAGAATGAATAGGCGGGGCAGCAAATATTTAGTAGTTCATTTCCCCCAGACCCCAGGCAGTTTAGCCATGCTATCCTCACCATTAAGCACATGCTAATACAACGTACATTAGACATACTCCATATTGTTCATTCACCTCTATACTTTATTTTATGGAAATGTTTCTGCCTTTACCCTTGCAATGCAAAGAAACAGCAACAGAGTGCCCATGTTCAATGATCCTAATGGAAGTCCTGTCCTTAGGTGAGGAAACTATGAATAAAACTCAAAAACACTCTTTTTATTCTGAAAATAAAACTTAAAAGTCACTCTTGGAGGCAGCTGTTAGGCAGCATACATTTCCACTTGTTACACAAAGAGAAAAATGGGGGGACAGCTTTATTCAGGATTGAAAGGGACATTTGATTGCCTGCATTGTTGATCTTGCAGCTATTACAGATCCCTTCCCAGGTCTTCACAGCCTCATTCAGGCACAAGCCAGACTTCTACCTCTTAAGTTCCAACATCCATCCTGGACTCCTTCAATTGCCCCTTGCAAGAAGCATCCCAAAGCCCAGGAAAGGATGCTTGGGAAGTGTGAGAAGAAATGACCACAGTGTTTCAGCAAGTCATCAACCAAGTAACAGCCCTTGTAATTCTGGAAACCAGAAAGAACCAGTAGGACTGGTACACCATATCTCTGAAAGCAGAGACCAATTCAGAACTCAACTTCAAGAAAGAAAAATTGCTCAGATAATAACAAGGGCAACCTCTCTCCATCATCTGTCATCTGGAACAGTCTGATGATTCTCCTGGCAGAGATTAGCTCTTGAGCCAGAGCTGGAGTGGTCATTTGCACTGACACTGGCTCATAAGTCTCCTGATAAATTTAGCCAAATTAGTTACTCTCCACTGGCACAGCCAAATTATTTAACTGAATTGATTCTAACTGTCTGAATGACAAAAGTGCTTTTTATTATTTATGCCATCTGCTGTTTGCAGTCTTCACTCTGCCAGGGGAAGCCTATTTTCATTACACATTCTTTCTATGAACAAGTAGCAACCTGTAAGAAATATTCAGTCATTTTATGGTATTCCCACTGGAACGCACTCAAGTGATTCATGATACCTCTGTAAACTTGTTCTAGGATTTGAGAAAAATGTAATAAATAAAGCGTGACTCAACAGTTGGCCTTTAATGGATCAGAGCTCGATGAGTTCATAGCTTTTATCATCTATTAAAAATTAGGTCTTTGTCTATTTATATGGTCATGCAAGAGCAGAGGAGGAGAAAAATCACTTGAAGGAAAAAAGAAAATTTAGAACCTAAGAACAAGAGGTCAGCAAGCAGGGCATTCCTGGACTTGTGCAAAACCTAATTTTCTAAAAATTTCAAGTCTGATTTTTGGATCCCTTTATTAAGGTTGAAAATTTTAAACTGAGACTCTGAATACAAATTCTATCTGCCTAGTTACTCCACACATGCATGAAAACTGATCTGGAACACAGATTTCAACACCCTCAGGTCAGAACCCTAGAAACTAGTTTCTCAGATCAGTCTCCACAATACATGTATAAATTTCTGCTCAAGTGGGCACAAGAGGGCTGGAAATTAAGACAAAAAGCTATACCAGGTTCATGTTCCTTCAGTTAGGAACCTTCTGGGTCAGCATAGATATTAAGCATAAGGATATTCTGAACAGCATGCATTAACAGAAGTAGAAACTCATGGAAACATACTTTTGGCAGCTTCCAGGTCCCAAACTCGAATGGACCCTGACTGGGACCCTGCAACAATGAGCTCCTCATTTGTATTGATCTGTAGGCTCTCAATGGGCGTTGTATGACCTGTCAAGCTCTGCAAAGAAAACCACAAGTCACAATCAATAGCTACTGACAGCCCTGTCCACAACAGCACTGCTCATACTCCACTGGTAAGGAAGGTATTTAGCCATGAGTTGCAACCACCTAGTTGTGCCACTGGTCCTTTTTCCTCCTCAGCTACCAATATGGTAGGGCACCCTGAACACCATCACTGCAGGTAGCACTGTGCATGCATCTTCCACCTTATCCCACTTTCTGGGGCACACTGACTAATTTTTAAAGGATACATCAACAGAGTCACGAGTTAACATGAGGTGTGGAATCCCAGACAAGGTTGACACATACTTGTATTATAAAAAATTATGCTGTGCAAGCACAATGGCACTGTGTTTGCTCTAAGTGGGTCATGTAAGTGTCATGAACCAGTTACAAAATCAAAGCAAGAGCAAAGCCAGGACTACTTCGAAACCTTCACATAAGCAAGGAGCCATATGTTGCTGCCAACAAAGGGTGTCACAGTGATAACATGGTGCTATTACTGAAGTATTAACTTGAGGCATAAGGTAATTCATATGTATACAGTTCCTTTCATCCTTGAGCTTACAAATTACGTTAGTATTTTGAAAAGGCCAGTATTTAATTAAAACACAAGAATATTTAAAACTAGCTGTGAAAAACAAATACCACTATTGCAGACTTTTTGCTTGCCAATTAAGCAATATTCTATACTTTACTCCATCCTCAGACAGGTGTTTTTAAACAGCTAAGCTAGCTCTGTGCCTCCCACACACGTAGAGAGTCTGGGAATGCCAGCTGAAAGCTGCCTGTTCTGACAGGGCTCTCTTAGGATTTCACATGCAGCTGAAATCCTCCACATACTCTACAGCTGCAACTGTCACTGCTTAGTGAGAAACAGAGCTCACACTTGAACCAAGCCACAATACTACTTGAAAAGCTCCTCTTCTACCTCTTCCCCAACATGTAAACACCTAGAATCCTAACAATCCAAACACTAAAGATGAATTTCAGAGGACAAAACATACAGCAGAACCCCAAAAATCAAGATTCTTTTGATATATAAGAATGGCACAAGTCCTCAGCAGCTTCAGTCAGTCTCTCAGAAAACACCAGCTTCCAATGTCTGTGGTTCTCACACAGCACAGGAGAGGCACAGCTCTCTGCTCCCACAGAAAGGATACGGAGATATTTGGTCCTTCAACCTTCCTTCTCATGGAAGGTAATACTCTAGTTTCAAACTGCTGTCATGCCACTGCCAAGGGCCTAGAAAGACACAGCTTAACAACACTATGCAAGAAGCACAGCACTGCCAAAGGTGAGTGGCCCCTTCTGTACCCACTTCAACACTTGACTTCAATGAATGAATGGAAAAATAGAATTAGCACTTTTCACCTTTTTGACTTTACTTTCTTGATTTCCTCCTCACAAGGTTCATACTGGCTAGAAAAATGCCTTCTGTAACACAACTTTATTATCGTTGTTCATTAAACATATTGTGTTGTTCATTAAACAAGTGACAAGGCACTCTTGCTAAAGACGATTTTCCACAACACCCACCCAAACCAAAAGCTATGCAGGACAGACATCTGTTAAATATATTTATGGCTCACTTTAGTGATGACTACTGGGGTAACCCTACTCTTTCTGACACGCTGTGCCCAGCATTAGTCTTCCCCAGCCTACAGCCAAGTTAGCAAATTATTCCAACAAACTTTGTGCTGAGAGTTAAGTGACTGTGGGACAGGTGGGAACACATCCTGCTGGGAGGGTAAACTCCAGGGTATAAAACTGGCCCCTGTAACTTGCACTATAGAACTAGCTGATCTTGTACAAAACTCTTCATTTAATTATCTATAAGCTGCTACCAGAAGGCACAATACTCATTATCTGAGTAAGCACTGACCAGCTGAAGCAGCCAGCCCTCCCAGAGTCTCTCTGGAGCAGCAGTCTCACCAGTTACCGAATTCGGTCCTTATCTTTAGCTAAAATCCAGACACACAGCTTTGTGTTGGTAAACTCTATTCACAAGTTCCACAGGCTACAATGCAACAACCTTTCCCCTCGTTCCCCACCCTCCATACTTCAGAATTAACATTTCCACCCTTCAAAAGCTGAAAACAGGCCTGTGCTTACCATGATGCAGTTGGGCTTGTTAACTGACCATATGTTGACCCGACAGTCATCTCCTCCAGTTGCCAGCAGACGGCCTGAACTTCTTCCCAGGACTAGTGAGGACACATTGCTGCTGTGAGCAGTGATCTCTTCTGCACAAAACAAACCAAACAGTTATTACAGACTAGAAGAACAATTTTCCATGCCATCCCTCCCAAATGACTAAAAAAATATATTCTTCCTCCAGAAGAACATTCTAGTTGCCACTGGACAAGCTGCAACAGCCCACTGTTCAGATAAGAAGTCACACTACTATCTTGCTTGAAACAGTCCTTTTTGGCTCTGCCTGATGTACTTCAGACATATGTTGACCAAACTTCATAACTCCAGTGCTCATGTAGCTTAAAAAAAAGCATCTTCTCTCTATAGCAGCAGATCTTAAAGATTTGTTCAACTGTGGCAACCTGCTCACAGAAGCTGCTTTACCTTCAGTACCCGTGTGGGTCTCAGTAAGCTGAGCTGTCTGAGAAGCTGCAATAATACGCAGCAGCCAGAGTCATCTAACAAAAGGCCCTCCAATCCTGTTCTAGAAAGCAGCAGCTCTCTGTCCTACCTGAGAGGAACTGGCAGCAGTACAGTTTGCTATCTTACACAGAAAAAAAAAAAAAAGTCAGACTCAGCAGCAGGGATAGGTGGAGCTCCCTTCTCTGAGCTTTGGCAGAGGCTCTGCTCTGTTCCCACTATGTAACACAGGTGAAATTTAGCAATGCAAAGTGTGAATCTGTGACAAAGGAAGGATGAATACACATCTGAAAGGGCACAAAAGAGCAAACGCAATTGATATTAAAAGACTTAAAAAACTGGGGTAAGGTCTGACACTGAGAGGTGTTTGCAATGACAGAACTCCAAGGAAGACTCATCATAAAGAAATAAGTTTGGGGCAAAAAAGAAGCCAAACGAGCATCTTTGCTTAGACATCTAATTTTCAAAGTGGATTTTTTTTTTCTGGCAGAGCCTTCTGGCAGACTACGAATTTTTTCCTCTTACATTTTTCTTTGCTGAAAGTTCACAGGATTTGCATGCCTAATAGTTATGAAACTTGTTTATAAAAAGGCTAGGTAGCAATCAATCCAGATTTCATTTGAATTGTTTTCGTGGGAGGAGCAATTCGATTATTTTACATGCAACACTAATCCAAAAGGTTATTACATGGCCGCAATAATAATTACAGGTACTTTGATTTCAAGCTCTCAGAACACTTTTCTGAAAGCAAAACTGCGCAACTTTCACTTTAGCTGGAGAAACACCTTCCAAATTACATGAGAAGGGCAAATCTGAAAATAAGTTTGTATTGTGTTGAAAGACCAATATTCCATGTGGCAATGCTAAAGTAGAGTATGTATGCATACATACATACAGACGTGAAGGTAATAAACAGTACAATTAGTACTAATAGACCAACTCACTAGTTAAAATTGAAAGGATAGATCCTGAGCATTGCTGCTGAAATGAGTGCATCAGCAGCTCTACTTCTTCCCTCCTCTTGTTTTCATTCTTAATAATATATTGTAAGTTTAAAAGTCATTGCTGAAGCATTCAACTCTGTGTTCACAAAAGCCAGGTTATAACCTGATGCCAGCCTTGCCCGGATCCCTTCCTTGACTCCCCCAGTGAAGTGCCAATTTCCTTAAACCCACAAGCTTTTTTTTAATGAAGTATTCTTCACCAGATATTGCCCACCACCTCAATAATACTAAGCTTCTAATTAGCATCACCGAAACTTTTCTAACATTTGGAGTTGCTCTAAAGAGAATGCTAAGATAGGGTATAGCCTAGCAAAAATGAAGATCAAGAACCTCACTTAAAGAGAATGGAGACTGATTGACTTTCAGCTTTTTCTGTAACTGGAGTTTCAGGGATGGGAATATAACATAGCGAACTGGCTTCCTGCTCAAAAAGATATGAAATTGATAAATCAACTATCTCAGTTCCCTTAATATGTTACCAGTCACGGTTACCATACTAAAGCTCACTTCTGAACAACCAATCACTTCCCATTGCTTGTAGATATTCCCCAACAGCCCCCATGAAATTACTCATCAGTGACCAGCAAAGCAGGCAGAAATGGACAGTCAGCAACTGCTTACTGCTCCTTCTGAGGAAAAATAATGGATGTAAAAGCAGTAGATTCTTACTGTCTCTTGTAAAGCAATTTCAAGAGAACGAGACGTACAGTCCCTACAAAGACCACCTCATCCCTCCTGCAACAAGTGAGCAGCAATGAAGGGCAGCCTCAGCCAGGCTGACAGGGCAGCGAGGGAGCTCCCTGCTGCAGCCTGTGCTCCGGAGGGGGTTTCCATCGCTCCCTCGGCAGTTCTTGTACTAGAGTGGAGTCATGAGGGGTTAGCGAGAAACTTAGGACAGCATTACAGCAGCTAACCAGAAAAAACACAGGCCATGACCCTTTGGAAATAGCAATGTCGAGGCCCTACGTTACTATGTTTTCAAAAAGGATTTCTAGGAGTTAAAAATGACAGTCAGCAACTTGGAGAGAGGGCTGGGGCACCCACACCCAGGGCAGGGATTAGCTGCTTCCTATCACAAACCGCCTCTTCCCCCCCCACGTCCAGCTCCTCTGGGAAAACTCCTCTGCCCTCCTTCGGAAAGCAACTCAGCGACACTCACGCAGCTTCCACGCCGTCTTGGTGGTGACAGCCACGGCCATGTCTCAGCGCGGCGCCGCTCCGACGGGCAGGGCCCAAGCGCCTTCCTCCTGCCGGCGAGTCTTCACCGCCCGGGCCGTTTCT